AGGACACAAAACTTCTCTCTGCTTGCTGTTACAATCCAGTAAAGACAGGTTACGTTTAGCTGTACTTACCTTTTAGGAGAGATCTGTTGACTCTAGGAAAAGCCAGGGAAAGCACCAGGAAGCAATGGAAGGAGGTTGGCAGGAGCAGGAGGCAGCCAGCAACTAAAACTGGTTAAGAAGCAGCCATGGGTGCAGCAGGAGAAAATCCTCCTTAGAAAGTAGTGAGGAGACCAAGAGAAAAGCAAAGAGCAGGAGGCTGGACCGATAACCACTGCAGACCCACTAAGATCTCTGAGGGCATGCAGCCATTATGTTAGTCCTGGCACTGGCAGGCAAAGCAGCTAATGCTGCCTTCTTACTGCCAGCCTTGTTGAAGCTGCTGCCACCTGAACTATCAATCCCCTCCACCACCTGTCAATCCCCACAATGCTAATTCTTTGTTTACAAAAAAAAATCTACCACAGGGTATTACTAGGTCAAAAGAGTTAAGACTGCTTTCACAGGCTTGCAAATGCTTATCAGTATTGAGGCTGACTGAACTTCAAATTTAAGTATGTTGACTTAATGTCAATGCAAGCAAGTAGAAATTTCAGAGATTCACAGAACAGCCTAGTCTGGAAAGGATCTTTGGACACCAGCTGGCTCAAACTTTACATAAACCAGAGCCAGCTTCCCAGTTGGATCATGTTCCTTATACACCATGCAGCCAAGTTCTGAGTCTCCCCAAACATGGAGACTCCAGAACCTCTGTGGCTATCCTGTTTCAACCCTCAAGCACTCTCACAATGAAATGGCCAGAGCAGCTTCCACATGATCAGTTGACTAAAATGAGGCTTCTTTGATGAAACTGAAATTTTGACAGCACTTGATACTTATACTATAAATACTGTTAAAGAGCTTTCTTTCAAAAAGAAAATTTCTCACTTTTTAAAACCAGGGTATGATATTTTTCCATTATAACAACTAGATTTTTTTAAAACTCATCAGCTATGTAGCACAACAGCTCCAAGATCTGGCATCAATTTTCGAAATCACAATAGTGATCAAGAAAGGAAGAGTAAAGAAGGCATGGTAGGGTTTTTGTAGACAGCTAGGGCACTGCAAGTTCAAAGCAATCTCAGTACCATCATACATTAAGCATTCTATTACTGCTGACCCCACTATGGTTTGTATTTATGAGTAGATAAAACCCTTTCTATTTGCCAAAGAGTTTCAGAGTGAAGACAGTAGCTACTTAGAGAAAAAAAGAATACCATTTTGTTTCTGTCAAACATAATAAATGTAACAAAGGGAAATAACAAATACAAGCTTACTACTCACAATTGTTTAAAATGACGTTTGTCAACCAGTGATACTAGGAAGGCACCTCAACACTGTTGTCATTGCACATCCAACAGGGAAACAACCACAACAGAGCAAAGGACCAGGAGCTGGCATTTACATCACACAATAGTCCCATCTATACTGGACGCTTCTAAACTGGGCCAACAAGAGTGCAAAACAGCAGAAAGAAGGGGTGTTGTCTAGCACCTTCCAGTCATCTGGTGATGTATCTTGCAGCCACTCACTGGCGAAATCCCAAATATGACCCTTAGTCTATGACAAGGATCAAATATAATGAAGCAAAGGTGAAATGCATTCTCCTTCATTCAGTATGAGCAGGTTTCCTTTTTTCAGTAAACTCGAAGGCGTTTAGTGACCTCGTCTGCCTCCCATCTCTGACCCCCATGACTGCTAAATATCAAAATGGCAGAGGTTCTAAATTGACACAAACCGGTGAAGAACACAGATGTTATGAGAATGTCTGGAAAGCACATTCTACATGCTTCACCATAATCTTTCCTATATTTTTCATGTCTGTTAAGCTAAAAATATATACCTATCCTACAGAAGGGATTACATCAAATGTCCTGGGATAATGACTTTTGCTGCTCTGTACAATTAAATGGCCTTTTCTTTCAGCAATCTACAATTTTTTAAGGGGAGCTGCACAGGAACAACAAATTCAGTCTGTAAGACACGCTACTAATGCCCTGAGACCATGGTCTGCTCCCCTCCAACTACCCTGCAAATTCCCAGCTTGCTTTTGAGTGGGAACATACACTCCATCCAAACTAAACATCAAATACCTATGCTATGACCATGAGAATTCATTTTTTCCCTTTCAAAAAACAGCATGTCACAATGGGATCTGAAAAACTGTCTCTGGTATCCAGATGTCACACTATTTCTGCTCTGCTAATAAAATGGATACAGCAATGACTTGCTCTCTGGCACTGTATCTGATCTGTGCAACTCCTTCACACATCACTCCTTCTGCTGGAAAACAATGCTCCATGTGATGGGAGTCCGAAAGAAGAACTGGCCTCGTAAGCCAAAAACCTGAGAGGAGGAATAGAATTACCGCTGTCAAAATCACCTCTTGCCCAATCTAATGTGAGCCATACAGGACATGCTGTACTCCCAGAAGCCACTGCTTACCCTGGGGCTTGCAGGGAACTGCTGATTCCCCTTGCCATGAAGGGTTTCACTTTTCCCTGCTTCCTTTAATAATTACTCTAAGTTCTTGAAAAATCACCACCTCAGCCTACTAACCTGAGACAGTGACACTTGCTGCAGTGGGGTCTCTCATTTTGCTTGCAGTTTAGGGTAGTAATAAAATCATTAAACAGCAATACAAGAATCCATCAAGTACCTGGTCCTGAAACATCCCAACATCTAAAGCCAGAATTTATATCACATGGCAATTTTTCATCTGAAAAAAAGACCATTATATCCTAAAAGGAAAAGCATGGGGATATTTAGGCTATATTCCTCACCAAAGCCTGTACTCAAGACACCTGACAAAGCTACCCTACAGATATGGAGAAATGCACAGAACCTTCTCCAGCTTCAGAGCCAGCAGACAGTCACTGGTATCCCATGCGTACTTACACTGCTTTCAGCAGATGAACCTACCAAAACTATTAGGGACATAACTTTATTTATACAGTGTAGTTATCTCTGAGCTAAGCACAATGTCTGTTGCTACTTGTCTGGTGCCCAAAACTGTGAACCTGATTTCCTATTCATCCGCAGATGCTTCCATTTCTGGGGAACAAGGTTGATGCTGTCTTGATTATTGACTTGAATCACATCTTCTTTCTGGAGATGAAGCTGCATATTTCAAATGTCAAAATAACTCAAAAACAGTTATTTATTTGGACACAAATAATAACAGGTAGTTATTTAGTAAAATGCTTGAAAAACAATGTATTTAAGTTGCTCAAATTCTATTGTAAGAAAGATGACTGCTCTGACTGAAAATAGTTGAACAGTTCAAAATATTTTAACATTAGGCATTTTTATGGTTTGAAGTACTTTTTCAAGCATGTGAATTGCTTAAGCCTGTTTGGTCAATGTTTTCATTAAAAGTCCATAATTTAATTAAATTAATTAGTAATTATTAAAATGGGATTAATTAATTAAATACTGTCACTTTAAAAACATTAAGAGCAAACCTTATGCCAGGTTTGTCAACAGTAAAATGATTTCATTCTTTGGCCTTTCTGTACAAGCAAGGATCTTCTTGTTCTCCTGAGTTACACACAATCTCTATATATTACTGAATATACTACTTTAATCTTTAGCCAGCTTTTTCCAAGTCTAAAGACAAAGCATGCAGTAATGCAAATATGAAAGGAGTAACTGCATCAATTCAAAGGTGACACTAACATAATGAAAACAAAAAAAGCCAATAAAAAGCTATTTATTGCTTTATTAAGCAGTTCTTTTAAAAGCTTCCCAACAGAATTCCTCTACAATGGTCTGAAACTGCATGTCTGCACTAGATCCAACAAATCCATCTGACATACTTTTAATGGCCTGCAAAACAGAACAGCATCACTTGACAGACACACACATGCATTGTCCTTTTATTAATTAATGCAAGGCATTGCCGACTTGAGAATCACCTTTCTGTCTGTCAAATATATTCACCTGTATTACTGGCATGTGCATAAATTATTAAAAATGAATGAAACTTCCTTTTCCCTTTATCTGTATTTGTTTGCTTTTTTCTGTCTATACACAAGAAATCAATTACACCAGCTCCCTTCTTCTTTCTTCCATATGTTCAATCACTGTATCTGTCAGGAGTAGTTAGAAAAGGGAAAAAGCAATTTGCAGCGGGAAAAACAATTTGCCTAGAGTCTTCACCTGCCTAGCAATCCCATCTTTGCTTAGCCAAGCTTTCAGTGAATCAACAGACAAATACTGTTTCTTGCTGTTGGTTTGTTTTTTGGATTTTGTTTTACAAGTGTTAAATGCAATACAGTAATTGTAGTAAAAGAGAAGGACTACATCACTCTTTCATAGTTCATCACACCATGCCACACAGAACCAATGTGCCACCACACTGAGTTTTGTAAGGCTGTCAGATCTCTGCTGCTGGGGTCAATAACATTTCCTATGTACTTGACTTCTGTACAGTTCTGGAAACTCCTGAATTTTGAAGAAGCTACAAAGGCAGCCAAAACCCACTTATTATGACTGTAGCAGGAGTACATGTTTTGGGACAAAGGACAAAAGCTTCCCAGAATTCTCTACCTGCAATCACACACCCTATTGAATTTTATTACAGCACAAGTCTGTGCGAAAGAAATTTTGATTTGCAAGTAAAAATAATCAAATAAAATATTAAAGACTGATACTGGATCTTTCCCTTCCACTAACTTTACATTACATTGTACAAAATGTAACTTTACTTTCATTTTATTTATTTACTTTAAAATAATTTAAAACTTTAAATTAAAAATTTTACTTTTATTGATTTACTTTTGTTTTATTTACAAAATGTAGATTACTAACTTTACATTTACATTGTACAAAAGTACAATGTAGCTGGGGAGAGGACTCTCCATAACCCTGTCACTGCAAAGAGAGGAACAGATGTCAACAGCAGGCATAAGCAGTGTTGGCCATCACCTTCAGCTGTGATCAGCGCTCTCTCAGCACTTTACCTGGTGGTGTACTAGCTGCTGTCATGGCTGTACCTGTCGAGTGCACTGGGCTGCTGCTTCCCAGCGAGAGGCAAGAGCTGCCACCACTGTTCTTAACAAACATCTCAGCAACAGTGGGCAGGGGCATTGGGTGGCTGATTCCCAGTTCCTCTTCCTGAGCTTGCTGTCTTCTTAGGGCAACCTAGGAACAAAAGACAAGATAAGAGGTATGCTCTATGATTTTGAACACAGTCTATACTGGTAGCAATGAACAACTCAGATTCAAAGCTGTTTTTTCACTATTCATACTAGAGAGTAGTGCTGATCATAGAATCACTAAGGCTGGAAAAGACCTCCAAGACCACTGAGTCCACTTTTCCACCCAACACCATTAAATGTCAGCTAAACTATAACACTAACTATCAGATCCAGTTGTTTCTTGAAAACCTCCAGGGATGGTTCCTAGTTTTAGTACTTGACAATTCTTCCCATTCTTCCTGATGTCAACCTGAACGTCCCCTGGCCCAGCTTGAGCCGATTTCCTCTCATCCTGTCACTACTAGCTGCCTGCAAGAAGAGGTTGATCCACAACCTCCTTTCAGGCAGCTGCAGAAGGTTCCTTACGAGCAGTCTTTTCTCCAGGCTAAACAAAGCCAGATCACTCAGCCACTCCTCATCTGGCTTACTCTTTAGGCCCTTCACACAATCCAGGCAATGGGTAGAGAAGTGTAAAAAGCAAAAAGCAACCCCTTTTTGTGTCCAAGCACTTATGAACAAGCCTATGAAATGCAGGTGACATACACATCTTCCTCCACTGAGGCCAGATGAGCACGTGTTACAGCTGAATGCACTCCCCCAGCACAGCTGCTCTTGGGACAAGCATGCTGTATAAAGTGTACTCACTACCCTCCTCTCTGCTCAGGAGGTTAAGAAGTTAGTCTGCTTGCAGGATTCTGCTGTGCCTCTTATCACTATAAAGCAGTTTTTCATGAGGATTTGTACCTGCGATCTCCTGCTCTATCCAGGCCTATTAGGTTCCCTGCTGGCTCTTTGCTAGAAATGCTGTCCTTCAAGGAAATTTCAGCATACAGTAAACTGTATGCTGTACAGAGAGAACCATTATGGAAGAAGCATGGCAAATGTAGGTACCATCCTGCAAGCATCTCAGACAGCAACACACACATTGAAGAGAGCTGGGCAAGTCTGGAGAAGCTGGAGCTTCCCATTTCTTTCCCAATACTGACAATGTTCCAAAGCCTAACTGGCACTGGCCAAGCCTATAGGCACTACACAGTCTGGACATGGGTGCAGACATTGCTTGCAGACAGCCCCTTCTGCCTCATCTGAACTAGTAGATCAATTTAACACATCTGTCCACCCATGCCATTTGTGTCTGGGGAGTATATATGACACTGCTGCAGCTACTTACCCTGCTACTTGTGAGGTGACCGATTTGTATCTTTGCTTGAACCTTGGAAACCTCTTCCAGTTTACAGGCTGGGCTCATGGGCATTTCTTACTGGAAATTCTCCTGGGTATCTGGGACACAACTTCCCTACATTTTCATGTTCAAGCTACACTTTTTCCTAATACACATTTATAATTCTATTAGTTACTATTAGACCTTGCAAGAAGAAACATCCCATACAGAGGGTGCAGACTTGCAAACACCAGTGTAACTTCGACTTCACAAGCCAACAACCTTGACCTGTAAAATTCCACCAGCATCAAGGGGCTGACTGCAGAAATATATCAAAAGGGGAAAAGACAGACTTTAAATGTGTAACTCCTACACAGATAAGGTTTAGCCAGGGAGGCTTTCAAAGCTACTTTCAAATATTAGGCAGGGAAGACAATACCCCCAGGAGGGCCATCACCAGAACCTGCTAGCAGGAGACACCCACTGCCTGACTGCACACACCCAGTGCAGCTGAGGAGCAAAGGAATCCGTGCCGATGGGGACATTTTGCACGGGAACACTTCACTTTGTACTCCCTTCCCCGACGCATACAGCCAAGCGATTCACGTTTATTTTTCCAAGGTTCACACCACGCACAGAAAGTGCGTGCAACTTGGGCATAACAACAATTCCTGGGCTGCCATACTACCAACAAGGAGGAATTATTTAAATGAACGAAAACTTACTCCCACTGAGTTCTGAGGACGTTTTATATACCTGCACCGAATAACAAATTTTTTAAAAATGCGGGGATTTAATCTAGGGCTGCTTAGGTTTCTAAAACTTGTCAGCCCGACACACATTTTATCCGGGATCACGAAGCTCTGAGCAGACAGCTCAGCAGAATTGCTGAGCAGACAGCAATTGCAAACTGATGGGTGGGTCTGATACCATAATGATCTACCTCCACCGGCACCACGAGCTTTAAAGCCTCGCCAATTACTTACTACGAAGGAGATCATTTGCACTACCGCGGGGGCAAAATGCCCCTCGCAGAGATCAACTACTCCAGCAGCCGCTTCAGTACACACCCAGGGCCCCACTTAATTAAGTTTGCAAGATAAAGATCACAAAAGTTTACAGAACGCTGTATTTACACCGCCAGAATTGTGACTGCAGCGAGACGACCCAACGAAAACGCTATTCTACCCTGAACTGGACACCGTTTCTTAGCGCTCAGAACACTAGACCCTCGTTGAGATTTCAGATCACCCATTACAGAGCTATGTGAGGAACTGCTACATACAAAACTTCGAACAATACCGTTAAAAAAAAAAATTCCCCAAAAAAGTTAGAAATGCACTCAACTGAAGCCACCAGCACAAGGAAACTAAGTTCACACCGAGTCTGGAACCACCAGCACAAAGTCTTCTCGATAAGCAATTTGTTGGCTAGATTATTCATTTTCTAGTTAAAAGCAAGCGGGAAAAAGGCCCTGACGGCAGCTTAGGTCGCTCGGTGCAGGTTCTACAGCCCCGGGAGCTGTCCACAGGGCCCGGCGGCACCCGGCCCGGGGGAACCGCTCTCGGCCGTGCCCGGCCGGTGCAGCTGACCGCCCGCCGCTGCCACCCGCCCCGACTGCAACCCTCCGCGCCTTTGCGCCATCTCCCTTTCTTATAGAAAATAAAAATTTAATAACTTGCGAGAGACACAACGAGAAATCTCACTAACATACTAATGCAGCGGTGTAACCCCTGTCTCCTGCCCGGGCCGAGGCTACCCGCGGCTGCGGTCTCGCAGCGCACCGCATCTCTGCGCGGCCCCGACGGGGCCCGAGAACATCCCGCTCCATCCCAGCTCACCTGCGCTGCCATGATGCGCTGCCGCTCGGCGATGAGGCTGCACTTGATGCACTGGCACTCCCGCCACATGCAGAAGCGCTTGTGCCCCTTCAGCAGCGAACAGTAGCCGTGGTTGCGGCAGCGGGCACACTTGGGCAGTCGCGGGCGCTTCTTCCCCACTGCAGCGGCGCCACTGTCCGCCGGGGCGGAGACCATGGCGGCCGCCGCCTGCCCGAAGCTGTTCGCCTCGTCTCCTGGGCCCGCGACGTCCGGGGGATTGCTGATGGCCGGGGTGTCACTGGGCATCGCGGCAGGCTGGGGCAGCCGGCAGAGCAGTCTCCTCGCTTCTGCCCCGTCCCGTCCCGCCACCCCGCGCGTTTTGGCGGGCAGCACCCGGCCGGCGTCGCCCCTCCTGCTGCGCCTCCCCCACTCCTGCTGCTGGGGGTCCGTGGCCGCGAAATCCTCGCTACCTCGAGGGAGCGGCCACCCTTCCCTTCGCGCTCCTCCCTCCCCCCCGGCCGGCCTGCGGCGGGAAAGGCGGGCCCCGTCCGGGCCAGGCCTGGCGGCCCCGCGGGGCTCGGCTCGGCCGCGCTGCTCGCAGGGCCCGCAGGACGGGACACCCAGCCCCGGGCGGGCGCTGCTCCGCCGCCATCCTGCGGCCTCTGCCCGCCCTCCGTGCCCCGCAGCGGCCAGCGCAGGCCGGGTCCATGTGCTGATGCTGGACGAGGTCTGCGACAGCAAGGCGGAATCCGTCCCGAGAGGTTATGTTTAAGCCCAGTGGTCCCCTGGGTTGGCCAGGCCAGGTTTGGGCAGGCCTGGCCAAGGGAGTGGTGTGATGCCCGAACGAAAACACCCCAGTTGCTGCAGCTCAGCTACTCTGTCGTGGGGCTGCTGCAGTCTTGCTGGACTGTATCCTCCCTGAATGTCTTACCTTGCCCTCGTATCGTGCACTGTGTATAAAGACACCTTAATCAATATCTGTGTGGGCAGGTGATACCAGATAAGGGTGAGTGAGAGCACAGTGAACTCAGTAGCCATCACCTCTGGAGCTGGTGTGGGTGACAGACTGGCTGAACCCTGCAGGAGAAGACAAGCGAAGATGCTTTTTTCTTCTTTCCATAGGCTGCCCTTACAACTTGGCACTATGTGATTTATAAACACATGCAGCTCTACAGATATTATTTACAGTATTAATATTTCCTCTGTTACACCTTTAAATCTTTCTGGGCTCAACTTTAAATGACGCTATCTTCATGCTGAAATGAAACTATTAAATTACATCTCAATCTAAGATGAATGACAACTGTCAAATGAGCGACTCAACAGAGATGAAGCAGAAAGCACCTGAGATTATGTGAGGCTGATTTATAAAGCTTGCATAAAGATTTCTATAACCCCAGCTTCATGACTCAGCATATCAGATGGCAGTAAGTTACAGTAGGTAGAAATTTATTTCTGCTAGAAGAAGCCAAGAAAGGCATCTCTCTCTTTGTGATCAGCTAACTCCAAGCTAATTCTGCTCAGACTGAGTCTCCATGCTGGAAACAGTGAGTGCTTTTCTTAACCTGAAGAAAGCCCTAGATACTTGCTGCTTGATGCTTTGCATTAGCTTTTAATAAATTCCATTTAAAGAGCTTGTTCCTTCATGGTACAACATTGGAGACATTTATGGCACGTTTCATCCTCCACAGAGATACTTCATCAAACACTCCTGTTAAGCCGCAGTTGCAACCAGTCAGATGGTCCACAAGTGAAGGCCAAGCGCAAGCTGTGTGGGCTTGGTATGACCATCATTCAGCTCACAGAAACCTAAACTTTTCCCTTGCATCACTTTTCTTGGATTGACATTTCTAATGTCAGTATCTGCACATTTTCCCACAAGACAGGAGAAGATGAACATGATGTTTAGACAAACAAAATTAGGATTTGCCTTTACATGTAGTAGTGCATATCACTAATGTTTAAGGAAGTAAACAATGTAAGCTTACTTAGCTTTGTATATAAAAATATAAAATTCATCCCTGAATGAAACCAGTTGAGATCTTCTCAAGTCGTATGGGTGTCGATCAGTTTCCAAAATTTTGTCTAGGATCAAGCTTTGAATATCCAGTTTATGAAGTTCAGTGCATGGTGGAGCACACACACAGGAATATTTTCAGGTGCTCCCTACAAATTATCTTAAGCCAATTGAAAATGCAAATTAAAAAGTAGACGAAAGGAGGCTAAATCAAAAGACTAAGAAAGGCAAAATAAAATAAAACCCAACAGAGGTAGGAGAAGAAAATCAGAAATGACAGCAGGGGTGGAAAAGCAGAAGAGATAAGAGAAGGATAGCACATCAAGAAGGCAAAAACAAACAAAGGAAAAATAATAGCAGTCACCAGGTGCTTATATATCTGACTTTTCACTAGAAACTAAGTGGGACAGCCAACCTCAGAAATGAAATACAGAATGTAAAAAATGCAACAGTTCCAAGAAGAACATTCTTTCATCACTCCTTCACATAATTAGTATTTTCTACTACTGCACAGATCTGTATTATCCATAATACAGAACCTACCATACAGAACAAAATATTAATGTTGTTAGTACTTATCTGGTATTTTGTGTTCTGGACGAATATCACCAAAATATCTAGATGTCTGATGAATACAAGTATATGATCAATCATTTAAAAATGAATTGCTTTATGTTTGCTAGTTCAAGTCACACTTTGAGTATGGTTTAGAGTGCAATGTTTTTCTCCAATTTTTTTAAATGGTTGCATAGTGAAGTTGACAGCACACTGCTGAATATGTCATCTGTGGAGTAATGAAGCAATAAGAGATGGTCATAAACTACCATTAGTCCTAAGACGAATCACAATAACCTCACTGCAAGTCTTCAGGAAATTTTGTCATTCATTTAATGTATGTCTGGGCATCTCTGGTTCAAGTCTGTCTAGTGATGATGTCAGTGACTTAAGATTACTGCAGTTTGCCATCATCTTTGCAAATAACTGTAATTAATATATCCAGTGACAAAAATAAGAATCAAGAACCTGCATTTTTGCTTTTCTTTTTTTTTCTTTTGTCTTAATAGGTGTCTAATAGTTGTCCTTTAGCTTTACCTATTTCCTTAAAGTCCCTAATGTCATCTGTTATTGATGATCTGTCCTTTGCATGCCTTTGGCTTATCCCTTGAACCTGGCAAAAATATTTTATTTGCTAACAAGATTATCATTTTGAGGGGCAGATGTGAGCGAGACCTGATCCTACTACCACATTTGATATGACTCAGCAAGCCAGTGGCGAATTGACAAATTAAAAAGGATTTAATTCTAATACTATTGCCTGGACAGTGAAGACCTTCACTTTCTCAGAAGTCAGTGGAGTTGAGTACATTTCATTTTAGAAGTCTGCTGGACCTGATTCTGTTTCATTTTTGTTTTCCGGGGTTTTTTTTTTTTTTTTTTTTTTTTTTTTTTTTCTGTCAGTGGATCAAATCAGAGCGTTTTTGAGCTATTTTTGACTCTGACAGATCATTTCATAGACTGTATTCCCCAGGGCTGGTTGTGGGTTCGCCAAAGAGCCTCAGCTCTCAGTGCTGAGGGATAGAAGATAAAGCATGCACACTGCCATTCTGCATTGTCTGAAAACATTGACATATCCATAAACACACTCTGGACATTTTGAACAAAATATCAAAAACAGCCAGAGGGAGTCAAGCAAAGGAGGGAAGCCATGCCAGCACATTCCCTGAGTCACTGATAGGAGCTGGGAAGCTCCTCAGTGTTGAACTTTAGTGCTTGCCTGCAGCTTTGGGTGTCTGGGCTGCCCTAGAGCCATCAGCTTAGCAAAATAAATGGGTGTAGAGCTACACTCCTCTCTACTCCTCCGGCTATGTCAGTCTGCACATGCATTTACTCACGTGAGTCATCTGGTGGATTTCAGCTGGTTTACTTGTGTGAGTAGTCTCCCATGCAAGCATATTTGCTGGAGTGATGGACATCATCACAACTAAAACACTTGAAAAGATACTTCAAGAAAAATCCAGTAGGTGGCATAAATAAGCCGTTCTTTTTTTTCTTTCTTTCTTTTGTACATCTGTGCCGTTCTCTTTCATTCATTCTTTATTTTAATCCTCCTTTAACTTACATAGAAGCTGAAGTTTTGTCACTTGGCTCTTCAAACACAACCCACCAAACAAAGTTTTGTATTCGAAGTGGAGGATTTTCTTGATGCTTTCTGCCAGCATATAGGTTTTTGGGTTGTTTTTTTCCTCCCACTTCTATATTTATGTTTCTAACTGTTTCTGTTTTCAGGTTATACTACCTGCAGGTTTCAAACTGCCAGCGCCACAACTAAAGGAAAGGTTTTCTTATTGAACATATATCTGAACCCAAACCTTGCCTTGAAATGCTCAGTGTTTACAAGATTTGAAGGTTTGCCTTACAGCTCTTCCGTCAGACACTTCTCTGATGATATATGGAGTATTGGCACCAGGATCATTACTCTAGATCAGTGAAATCTGATGCTTTTTGCTAAAAGTCATTTCAATCAAGGTGAATCTTTCACTCAGACTTAAGATTTTATGTGCTTTAGTCTTCCTTGCTCCAAAGATATTTCTCTGGCATGGGCATTTAGGGATCAGGAGTTTTGGTGTGCTGCTTTGTTCTCTTTTCTTCAAAGTCCTTTTTCCTTCAGGGTTGTTTTTTGTCTGGATGTTTGAGGGTTTTTTTGTTTTTGTTGTGTTGTGGGTTTTTTTATTTGGTTTGGGGTTTTTGTTTTGGGTCTTTTTTTTTGGCATTTTTTGGTTTTTTCCCCTCTGGTGCCCAGGGTTCCACTTTCACTGAGTGAACAACTAAAGCAATATATAGTGCTGCTACCATTTGGCTATTTGCTGCCTTTCCTCAGCGAGAGTAAGGAGAGTACTTGGGGTGGTGGCCCACAGCTTGCCAGCAGTGAAAAAGCTGCTGTGCCCATCTCTGTCGGAATCTGTGGGTATTGATGATTCTGAGATTGTAGAAAGTCTCTGTCTTTCTGCCCTACTGCCAAAGAAGAAGCCATAATTCGTCTGTGCTGGTTTCAAGGTTGTTTATTCTTGCTTATCTATAACAAGTTCTGCTGCCCTGCTGCAGGTCTGTCCTGCAGGGCAGCGTGTGGGGCTCTGCCCCCAGTGGGATGTTACAAACATTAAATACCAGAAACTACGTGTGCTATATTTACAATAATGTGCCAATATCTATCATCTACGTTGAACAGTGTGTCCCCAGCCTAAACCAACAGAAAAATGCCAACACCACAGTGAAACATGGAGGGCATGAAGAAGGAGGAAAAGGACAAGACACACCCAATTCCTCCATCTTGTCCCCTCTGAACCCCTAATCTAGAAACCTAAAATTTTACTTTTGCACCCGTGCCACACTTAATTATTACTCATATCAAACACTCAGAGCTTGTAATTCATCCTGTAAGATTGAAAACACTTTTCCATGGACAGAGATCAGAGACAGTGTCTCTTGGGGCTCTGTACAGGGGGGTTCCCGACCCCCTGCCA